GAATTTGATTACAAGCGCCATGTTTGAATTCCCAGCTGCATTGATACAAAATTATTTAGCTTTAAAATTATGTTGAGGTACATTTCAATAACGTTTGTAGGAGATTAAAAGCTTACTTTGAATAATGCAATCACATGTGGAATTCACATGAAATTCATATGAAAATAAATATTTATTGGGCTCTTGGGTGATATTTAATAATAATCGTTATCAAGTGCTTTTTATAAATTGAACTTGACAGAAAGCTCGTTACTTTTAAAAAGCTACATATATAAAACACTCTTTCCCCCTCTCTTTCTCTATCTATCTCCCTCTGTGTCAGTTATTAAGAGTACCTTATATATTACATACATACAAAGGAGATTCCCCGCCTGTCGCTTCAACCTACACGATTTCAGTCAAGCGCAACTTATCAACAACAACGAGAAATACACATGCCAAAGAGTTCGCTTTACTTTTCTTTTTTTTATCAGCAGGCTAAAAATAAAAGTAACAACAACAACGACAACAGCAAAAAAGTTGTCAGCATGCGAAAAAAAGACTGAATGAAAGGCAGGCAACGTAAATAGAATGAGTAAAGAGCGCAAAGAGAAAGGAAAGTGGAGGGGGAGAGGGAATGGAGAACTCAAGTGGAGAGAGAGAGAGAGGATTGTAGAGTAGCTATAGAGCTTGTAGAGTAGAGCCCACGCCTTCTAGTGCTCTGTAAACGCTTTAAAGTTAGCGCCTGCTCTACACATCACGCCCCTACCCTCCTCCCACCCTTCATAAACCACCCCTCCCACTGCTCGGTAAAAGTTCAGCGCCCCTGAAGAACGACTTGGGTTTGGGATGTGGAGTAAATTTAAAGTTGCTTCACGAAAGAAAATGTCGGTTGACCCATAAAGCGGGCCAAATTGATTATTCCAGCCCATTCACAGCACATGCAGCAGCAGAAGTGAACCCTCAGCCCTCGATTAGATTTACACCTGTCCCCTCTGCTCTGACGCATGCCGGCAAAACAAGCGAACCATGTCACCCTCCTCTCCCACTCCCTCTCCTGCCATTGACTACTATGTGTACTGTATTTTATAGACATAGTGAATGAAGGGAGGGAATATTACACTGGACGCGTGCTCGACACGCGACCAAAACAAACTTATTTCTTCTGCGATACCCTGTAATATGCGTGCTCGACACGCGACCAAAACAAACTTATTTCTTCTGCGATACCCTGTAATATGTCATGGGGGAAATAAAGATCGCTTGGTATAAGTATACGTGCAAGTATAAGTATAGAGCAGCCAAGTTAACGAGCAGCGAGCTCACCATGCACTAGGCCACAGTCAACATTTTGACCGAAGTGCGCTCGTCTCTCCGTCCTCAGCACAGGAAGCCTAGCCGACCTAGCATGGGACGAAAGATCGCAGTTAGCTTTTATTCGATTTGACGCTTCTATGCATTGTATGCTTAGGTATATAATCTAGCAAAATATAAGTACTATTTGAAATTTGAATCAATGCTATTTGCAATAGATTTCTTCTAGGTAAGGACTACCTAGAAATATAAGCTCTCATTCACTTCCCTTGTGTTACTAAATTCACTTTACACTTGATTTGCAGGGCATGCTTTGGGGTCTCCCCAGTTTCGACGGTGCATAGTAACTGTAAAATCAATAAGTCCCATCCAGGCAAGTGGCAGGTGTGTAGGAAATATGCCACCACTGACTTGTCCAACAAACAAGACTCGGCTAAAATGCAACGCTTATGCGGAAGTCGGAAACGATTTTCACATGCCCAAAGATGATTATGTAAACTGGGCCCAAGTGTGTGAGCTAATGACGATGATGATAATGATGATGACGATATGTTGAAATTCAGATTGCGAGGAAGTGGGCAGGTGAAATGAAAGCAGATTATAAGCAAATGGTTATTATAAAGCATGAAAGCTTGTAAACTGAGAGATGATAAATATTCTCTACCTTATGTCAAGCTCTTCTGCTGAGTCTAAGCTCCTTTTTCTTTAGGCGAAAGTTGAGAATTTGATATTTCATAGAAAATCTTGTTTCCTTTAGGGTTTCAAATTCAAAATACAAATAAAGTGTGTGCCAGTTAAATTAATAATTTTTAAATTTGAGAACATTTCGAAATCAATAGGCAATAATCGATAATTGCTTAAAGCGAATATTTTGGAACTATTCAAATCTTTAATTTAGTTAAAATGATGTTAAGTGGAGGCAACTTTGCATAGACACAAAGGGATTTCGATTGAATTTATTGTGAGGAAATTATAATTGGGGCCCTCATTTATAAAATTCGGCCACGCACCCTTATCAACCCATTAAATATAATTATTTTTTTGGAATGTCAAATAATAATTAAATATCTTTAGTAATGCACAAAGATGTGTGGTTTTTCGTTCTTTGATAAAATGGATGGAATGAGTTAATAATTTAATAATTGAAAGATTGTTTATTTAGTGTTTTAGGTGCTTTCGTTTTTTTACTTTTCCTCGAATTTCCAAATCATTTAAAAATAATTTCCAGAAAATGTAGAATATTATGCTCCTATAATATCATGATAGCTGAAATAATAATTAATATAGATCCTTAATGGTTTTCTATTAAACTTCTACAAATCTATCGTACTACATTTAATTTCTTTTAGATAATTGTGCTTTAAAAAATGATATTACTCATTCATCAAAAATAAAAGAAATCCATTTAAGAAAGAATTTCATCCTCATAAATCTTCTTAAAATGCGGCATATACCGAATTGTTATTTATTACACAGACAGACGCCAATACATATATATATATATATATATATATATATATATATATATATATATATATATATATATATATATATACGTATATATAAATTCATGCATATAACACCCTAAAAAATAAAAGATGGCAAATAACTAAATCCCATCCATAGCTAAACCCCATTCACAGCTGTCGCTGCAGGCTGAAATAAATGATGATATATATATATATATATATTATATATATATATTTTTTTTTTTTTCAATTTGAGACTGTCGACGTGCGATGCTGGAAGAGGGGTAATCTAATCAAAATCAAATCAGTGCCAATGAGCTTAATGCAATTGGGGTGAGAGGGAGGATGTGGGGATGAGGGTTTAACTAAGTGGGAGGCTTCTTTCTGTTTTTCGTTATGGAAGCTTAAGCTGCGACCTTTAATGAGGATACAGTAAATTAAATGCACTTTTTCGCTTAGGGCAGAAGTGAACTTTTAACCTTAACAGTCGCTTAGCTAATGGACTAACCTTTGACTTTGGCTTTGTGTAGGTCTTTACCTTTGTACCTGTGCATAAAGCTCGCTCACTACTCTTTATGGCCGGAAGAGATCAATTTGTGGGCTTGGGGCCCGGCAGCTTGCGCAATTTAATTGCCTAATTGCAGTCAGAGATACAAATACAGATAGAGATAGAGATATAATTGCAAGTCTAGCAAAAAAGGAAAAGGGTTGGGGCACAATTCAATTCTCAGAGCTATATAGGAATGAGCAGAGAGAGCGCGAGAGAGAAGAGAAAGGGGGTCAGAGTAAGGGACTGAGAGAGAGCACTGAACTTGCGGAACGAGTTCAGCAAGATTTTTACAAAAAAAAAAAGAATAAACACGTAAGAAAGTAAGAAAGCGAATATTGTCAATTGTAAAACACCCTGTAAAATTTAAATTTACTTACGAATTTTATTAATACAAATTATAAAAGTATCCATTGATTAATTTCAGAGATAATTTTATTTCTCAAAATCTAACATTTTTGGCGAAAATTAAATCAACTTGTAAAAACTTTTTTAAGATTGAATTCTAGAAATTATAAAGATAATAATTAATATTAAATAATTTTAAATTTATTACTTTAAATCAGATTGGAAACAGCAGCGATTAAAACATTTTAAAAAAAAATTTTCTTCTACCTATTAAATTGAATAATAATATTTTTAGCACTAACAGAAATATCAAAATGATTAGTTAATATTGCAGCAAAAACTAGCAGAGTTACACAGACGTGAAAGAAAATGATGATGTATGGATATATATTTATATGTTTTTAAAGCAGGCAATTAAACAGAATCGAATTTCTGTCTAAGGTTTGGTTCCGAGTTTAAATCGGTTGATTGCAGCTAACAATTCCGATGTCGGCTTAAATCATTTGAATCACGGAATCAAAAATGTCGAATTTTGGTGCCGACTGTGGCTCTGATTCCGGTTCCGATTTCGGTTTGAATCAGAGAATATTGAATTGAGATTTCGATTCTGGTTCTAAATTTCAACAAGTTGCGATTCCGGTTCCTCTTAATGCTTTGTCAACTACATAGACACATTTATAATACCCAATATTTCAAATATTTAATGGCTACAGGGTATTCTAAAGATTTGAATGGCGCTTAGAAGACGAGCGAGTGTAGTAGTTGTGTGCCCCTGTGTGTGTGTGTTTGTGTGCGTGTGCGCGTTATTATTTTGTAGTTGTATTTTTTTATATCTACTTTGTGAGTATTTCAAGTTCAAAGCATTCCATTCGATTTGATTTTCGTGTGCTTATGCAAACCAAGTAAACATCCATATTTTTGTGAGTGTATTCATGAATTTATTTATGCGTATATACATTGATTTTGAATGAAATTTCCTTTCTTTGCGCAATTTTTTTCTCATTTTTATTTACAATTCGGTAAAAGTGAACAGCAGAAATTTGCAATTTATTGCTATTCGATTTGTTTCACACGAATAAACAAATGAAAATGAAAAAAAATTAATGTGCGAGATTTGTATAAATATTTCAGCTTCATGGTAATTGCTTTGTATTGGCGTTCATTTCTATTTTTTAGTTTTTTGTTTGTGAGAAGACCTCGAAAAAGTTCGCATCAACTTTCAAAATGAGAAAAGCTTAACAGCAATAACGTAAATAAAATGTTAACTTTAACATTTCACATCAATTCGCAATTTGTGTTAATCATAGTCGAATTCAACATTTGTAAATAGTTTTGAAACTCACCTCGCAATAATTTCAACTTGCAAATCTTTTCACAATTCACACGTTGTGGGTGGGGTGTGTTGTTGTTGTTGTGGACGTCACGAGCAGCTGTTGAAAGCGCGCGGCGCAAGGCAGACATCGAGTGAGAAAGAGAGGGAAACAACAAATATTTCGATTAAAAACACTTTTTGCGCGCACAAAACACAAAACTAGCAACATTTTGCGAACGAAACACAATGAGATAAAAATGAACAGCAGCAACAATAAAAACAACAACAATAACAACAACGAATTTATTTTTTTCGCTCAATGAGCATAAAAATCGAATATTGAAGGTGCCGTTCTCTCTCTCTCTCTCTTTCTCTGTATTGGTGCGAGAGGGAGAAATAAAATGACGGGCGTCGTATTAAATACAGTTATTGCTGTCATTGTTGTTGCTTTGCGTTTTGTTTTGTTTTCGGATTTGTGCTGTTCTTCTTCTTCTTGTTGTTGCAATTAATATGAGAATTTTGCCACACACGAAGAAGGAGCAGCATTAAATGCAATTAATTTGTATGACAAGTTTTTTATTTTGTTTATTGTTTAATTTATGCATTTCACTTTAGTTATTCTCAACACTTTTATCAAAAAACATTTTTGTGGTGAAAAGACGCAAAACACACACACACATAGACATACACATACACACACACACATAGTCGCACACAAATAGGCGCACACAACCATACATAGATGCTGCTGCTGCTACTTCTTCTTTTCAGTTGTTGTTGCTTTGCTCACCGAAAAAAGGGAGAGAATTTTTAGATTCGCGTTTTGTTTGGTTTTTTGTATTTATATTGAATATTGTTTGATTTTGATTTGCAGCAGGTTCAATTCTGTTAAATCCACGAAGAAAAAAACACCACCCACGAAACGAAAATCATTCAAAATGAGCCAAATTTCAGCGAGCAACTTGGGAAAATTTGTTGAAACACACACAACGCTTGTGCGGCTGTTTTCTTTTTTCGAACTAATAATAATAATAATTGTGATTATTATTAATATTATTAAGTTGGAAGCCCAACACACAAACACACACACACAGAAACACTGCAAATTGCAAACGCACCCAAAACGCGACTTTACCGTCCACTTGTAAAATTATTAATGCTAACATATCATGTTAATTTTCTCTGTGCTGTGCACTGGCATGTTATGTTATGCTCAAATGAGCATGTTAACCTTTCTTAAATGTTAACATTCAGCAAATGTGAGCAAGGCGACTCAATGGACTGCCAAGAGTCTAGGTGAAAATTATAATTATTTTTTGAGAAACAGCCCTAGATTGGATACATTAATTGCTTAGTTTTTGTTGAAATATTAAATTGCCTCACTGTTATACTCAAAATGGGTATGTTATTTTTAACATGCTGTTCATTTTGAATGGGCACTCACTTTGTCGCTCGGAAAGAATTTGACGGTGCACGCTGTTGACAATTTCGCCATCTACTGTATTTTACGTGCAACCTGCGACGGCATAGAAAGCACAGACGTGAACCTTAAATGAACGTTGCTTTACTCTTACTATGAAAATGTGGTGCAGTTTTTCAAATATTAAAACCCATACGACTTGCAAATATATTTTAATATATTTATTTTTTCATTTCTCTATTTTAGAAATTATATATTTAGCATGGCTTTCACAAAAATGAACAATATTTAGCTTTGCTCAATAATTTTTTAAGTTCTAAAATCGCTTCAGGCACAATGTTTAAAATCCATTTTGAAGTCTGAGTTTTTAACATAGATAATCGAGTTATCTTTTATATTATATAACAGTTTCGAAGTGGTAATTATTAGTAGCGGTTTTTAGAGTTGTGCTATTTATTATTTATTTAATGTTGACAAAAAACAGTTCATAGGTTTTAAGAAATGTTTGAATAAAGAAAAATTTAATATTAATTAAATACAATCTTAAAAATTTGTATATACAATTAAAATAGAGATATGAACGAAAAATAATAAAAAAAATAAAATAATAAATGTTGGTGCATTTAATGGCGTTCGTAGCTTAGTCATAAGAAAAGTAAAAGCGTTAAGGAACAGAGACAAAGAGTGAGACAGACAATACTAGGAAAATATCTGAAGTTTTGGTAAAACAAGTTTACCACATATATGCCTCAATATGGTGTAGGTTCACCTCAACTGCCAATTACAAAGAACTTAAATTAAAGGACTTTAATGTGCATAGCCTTAAATATATAGTAACTGAACTCATAGTCTATGAATTTGTAGGCCCCATCATGCCAATTGCAAACACTACTTGCACTTGTAAATTTTATGAGCGTCACGTTGGTTGGGGTCACCACACCAAGAACTAGCAAGGACTACCAAGGCCTGTTAAGGCCTCAGAAAGGGGAAACGGGCAATGGCGCTCTGCAATTGCAATTACGTGCCGTAGAGTTACCAGGGAGCATTATGGCCGCAACATGTTGATCGGTGTGTGTGTGTGCTGGTAAACCGTTAGATGGATGGCTGCATGGCGCGGCGCGGAGCCTGCCCTATTTGGTGTGTTATCTATTGCTCCGCTGGGCGCTGCGCAACGCGAGCTGCGAAAGTTTTTAATTAAGAACTGCAGCTGAGCAGATGGGCAGCGTTAATAAGTCTGCTTTTATGAATATTGGCAGTTGTATACGCGACAAAATTGTCGTCCTTCCCATGACTCTCTCTCTATCTCTATCTCTCTCTCTCCCTCTGTTTGACGTTGTCCTCCAATTTCGATCGATTTGTGTTTTGCAGCGCCCAAAAAATGAATAGAAAAATACAAAATAGAAATTCAAATACAAATCAATCTGCATATTGAAATATGCACATAACTTGTACTTGGTGGCTAGTTGGAAAACGGAGGCGACACAGCCCTGGCCTCTTGGCTGCTCTACTGCCAAAAACTTTGCCCGTAGCCAGGCCAAAAGTCAAGTTTTTTCTGGGCCTTGTTGTTGGTGATGTTGATGTTGTTGTTCTTTTTGGCTGCCTGCATGCGAAGCAAAATTGAAAAACTATTTCTCAACAACAAAATCAAAGCAGGCGCTGACTTCAAGAAATAAAAAAAAACAAAAAAATAAACAACAAAAAATGTATGCATAAAATTTCCATAATACAATTTCGATAATTTCACAAGTCAGAGGTAGAAATAGAAAATGCATTTTCCTTGTGCAGCTGGCGCTAAAATCCAATTGCTGTTCCCGACCCTGACAGCCCATCAAGTTTTTGCAACGCGTACATGAAGTAGGCGACGAGTTGACATTTTCTTAGCTCTCCCTTTTTTGTGTGTGTTGCATGCCACAAAACAACAACAGCAAATTGCGAATTGCAACAAACAGTTACCAGAGGAGACTAACAAGAATCTGGTTTTGACGAGCTTCGCATTTTTTGGCAAACTTCGTGAAACCATCAATCATCCATCGACTACGAATTTTGAGGTGAGGAGCTTGTTCTCCGTGTTCGTGGTGTGTCTGTCCGTGTGTGTCTGACTTTTGAGTGCGAAATTCCAGATTGGGGCAAGTCCGCAACGCAACGACGGCTGCCGGAAATAAGTTACATCAAATGAAATGAAATAAACTATTGGTAATTATTTTAGTACAATTACATTTAGTTGAATATAGTTTTAAATTTGTAGTCAATTAAACGGTGCATGTTTTTGTGTTTAATCAAAGTCATATTTATTTGTAATGTGAAATAAATCAAATATGAGTAGAAAACATAGTTGAACTGCAGGACTTCAACTTTTAAGCGCCTTAAATAGCCATCAAGTTGAGTCGTGGTCCTGGCAGCACTTGTCAATCATGATTGCGACTGTACAAGGAAAAGTCCAACATAAACAGTGGCCTCAAGTGTTTATCCAGCAACAGGAACAGCAACAGGAAGCGGAACACGAAATGGCAGAGTGCAACCAGAGCACGAGAGATAAACTTTAACTTGCACTGTCAGCAATTTTTCTGTAAACTTGCTTTTCTTTTCTATTTTTTTTCCACATGCCAACTTTGCTGTCAGCTTTGTTTTCTTAGCCGACAAATGACAAATGACGTCAGGCGGTGCGATTTTCTACCAGGGCGGAACATGTCACGCTGAAACTTTGAACCAAATGCTGCACAAACACACAAAGTGCATGCAAAACTTTCATAATTGAAATGCGTTAAGTAAATGGCCAAAAGTCAAACATTAAGTGGTATGATCAAAGTTTAAGGCTCAACTTTCAGTTTTCAGCAAAAGTTTTCGATTTCGGTTAATACGGTTTGCATAGTTGTTGCGTTTGTTGCATTTGAATGACTTCGTTTCATTCACGGCTCAAAGCCCTAATCTGCTATCCACTTTGTATCTTCCGCAGTCGTTCCTTTTTGGGCTTGTATTCACTGCCAATCCAATCTTTGCACTCATTATATAATTCTCCAGCAGAATCTGGTCGTCACAGATTTCTTGTCACATGTAGATGATATACATGTATGTATGTACAGATATCCATCAATAACTTCATATTATCATAATTGATTTCCCTTAACATCTCTGATGCAAGTGCATACGGTTCATCAAATAGCATAGAACACTGTACTTGCTTATGGGCCTCATTATTCCAATCGTGTCATAGCATTTTAAGCTTGTTTTAAATTTGCATCATTTGATTTGAAATGATCGCATTTAGCTTGCGAACCGCATCCAACTAAATCAGACATCAAATCTCTGTTCTTACACTTCACAACACTGACAAACCGTATTGTTTTTCTTCAACTGATGCTTGAAGGAAAATGTATTTTACTTAAGCTCATCTGAAGACTCATTAACTTCAATATTGGCTAGGCTGATAACTGCGCCAGTATCCTGAATCCTCTTCATTTTGCATGGGTCCTTCCCGGCACACGAGCTTTCCACTGCTCGAAATCCGTGCTGATGCGCCAGCCTAAACTTTTCAGCAATCGATGATGCACTCCCAGGGAACAAGAAATTCACATGTGCTGCGAATTTCAAAGGCATTCTAAAACTTAATGTCAATTTTATTGAACGAAATTAGTTAATTTGAACACTTTTATTAAAATTTGGAACAAATATGTTAAGCTTTAGTTCTAAGACTGTAACATAACATCTGCAACTGTAACTGTAACATCTGTGTAATGTGCAACTATGTAATTAACATTGATATCGATGTCGATCGATATCAAGGGTGTGATCACCAAATTGAAGAAGAAGAGAGACTCGTTGTGAATGAAGATAAAAAAATAAACGCATTCTAGAGAGAAGGGAGAAAGGTGTTTTAATTTTGACAGCCACAAAAGTTTTCACAAATACAAATATTTTAGATAGTTTAAAAAAACATACATAACTTTTAATTTAAGGCAGATAATAATGAGTTTCTGAGAGATGTAAAACAAGGCTTGTTAATTTTAATTTATAATTTATTTTCGAATCGAAAGAGAATAAAATGTTAGTTTTCAGTCCGATTTTCTTTCTTAGGATACGTAGGAGTACACGAAAAGGGAAAGGAGATGCATGCATTCCCTGCACACTTCCACTTCAACGCAAACAATAAATTCTAAATCAATTGCAACTCGCAGACAACTGTATTTCACTCAGATGCAAGTTGGCAGATATGCACCAGTTAGGCAAAGTACACAACACACACCAAGCCACCCACACACACACCCACGCACACACTCACACACACACACAGACAATATTATTTATACTGATGTCATAGGGATTTGCTTTGTGTTTAACCGATAACAAATCAGTTCCTAAAGCAATTCGAGACTCGACGGCGAATCTTAATTGCATTTTGCAACTGATTCGATGCTCGGATTCCGTTCATTTTGATTGCAAACTCCGGATCTATGGCTCTGTCCGTTCTGATGCTCTGTGTGTGTGATTATTGCCATGCATTGTATTTACTTTCTGCATATGCTCTGTGTGTGAGTGTGTGTGTGTGTGTGGCCAGAACATCATTAACCAACTACTCAAGTCGTTATTAAATATGTATTTTAAATGTTGCATTTTTATGTTTAAATTGATGTTAAATATTTGTGCTTAGCTTGTTTATGATGATTATTTGATTAACTGCATTTAAACAAATAGTGTAATGTGATTCTTATGAAATATTTGACGTGATTTCACTTTTATTTATTGAGGCTCTCAATTGGGGAACATAAATGTGAAAGGTCTCAACTTTATTAAATTATTCAGTCAGCTGCCCGTTGACCTTATCCGAATCGAGAAACAAATTAAGCCGAGCACAAAGTGCTCGGGAGCAAATTGAGGAGCGCAGTCGAGTTATCATAGAAATGAGTTATTTGCTAGACAGATCACCATAAATAAGTGGCAGGGTGGCTTAAAGACCAATACACAATGCACAATACACAATATGCAATGTACAATGTACAATGTACAATGTACAAAGTACTATTTACAGGCAGACACAACGGCGCATCAAAGGGCTGCCTTGGGGCCAAGTTCTTTAAGCCACGTTGCAACAACATTGGGGCGCAAAAATACAGCTACAACCAAAAAGGATGTTGTAGGCGAGTGAGCTCGACTCCCGCATACCCTGTTACCCTGTTAAGTTGTATATTTGATTTCAGATTTCAGTTTCGACTGTTGATCCTGAACAGGAATAAATATGCTTTGTGGGGATGCAGGTGCTTTCTTCTGCCTGATGCATACTTTGGCACATCACCATTATACCCTTCTTACTCATTTTAAGTGGGTTCAGAGCACAAAATAAAAATGATTACTTGCCGGACAATTGCAGGGGAGTGACGGATTTTAGAGATACCTTGTATCCATATAAAAATACGGATTAATAAGAAACATCTGTGTTTGTATTGGAATTATAATCAAATTTATATTTTATACAAACAATTATTAATTATTATAATTTTAATGTGAAAATCTTCTCATTTTGGAAGGTGCCACAAATAAAGAGTTGCGTCCAGTTCCAATTGGACTGGCGGCCAAGGTGCAAGGTGGTCTCGACTCGAAGGGCCGCAGGACTGGCGCAAAAGGACAACCCAACAAATTTGATTATGATTTAAGGTCCTGCGGCTATGATGGCAGCTGAAGATGGAGCTGGAGAAAGTTCACCTTAAACTTTAAAACTTGGCAGTGGTGGCTAATGAGCTTGGATAGAATCGAGGAGCGAGGAAGGACCAGGGAAGAGGGAGGGGGGATGATGGGCAATTGCTACCGAAATGTCAATTGGCGCATGCCTTTTGGGCAAGTAATTATGTTTGATGACTTGGTGGTCGGTTATGCTGCTGCTGATGCTGATGCTGCTGCTGCTGCAGCACTAAAAGCAAAGCGAGTAGGTCTCATGCAAGGATGAAGCAATGTTGCTCAAAGGGAGACAACTCCAACTCCAAAATCAAAGATAGCAATCCGAATGGACACAAAACTAATTATTTTGGAGAGCTGGTTTGTTGTTCTACTTGTCAAGTGATATGACATCGTCGGTTATAAGATTACATACGTTAGAAATTTTATTCAAATTCAGCTTTGCAAATTCAAATAGAAATAGTCCAAAAAACGCTGCTCAAAATGAAATTTATCATGAGGGAACACACCACCTAGTGTTCGGTAGCGGAAACGAACAATCGAAGCAGTTTTATGGCAACAGCTTATCGCAAACATAGAACATCGAATTATTAATAAAAGCAGTACTGTTACCTCTTGCATGGATTGCACAGCTTCACTTTTTAAAGAAGCAGTGCATAGAATATCGAAGCACTTACAAAACATAGAAACCCACACATTAACTGCTTTTCAGGCAATAACATGGAATATAGAATCACTCTCAGCAAAATGCAGTGTTAAACAAGCAGTGCAGAAAATATCGCCACTTAAACCAAATATGGAAAACACCGCATGACTGTCAAGGGAGAAGCGCCATCTTCAGCGTCAAGTGGAAAATAGAAAATATAGAACAAAGGATGTCCATATGCAAGCAAGCAGTGCAGAATTACCATTATGTTTTTCATTGAAACATTTTCTACGATGGAAACGCAGCTGTTTTCTCAGTGCGGCAACTTAAACGGAAAATACCATGTAAAAGATAATCGAATCAGTTGTGGCGTTGCCAGACAGTCGGCCTGACTTGCATTCGTCGGTTGTCAGGGCGATTTTTGAAAAATGCAAACAAATCGTTAATTCGGGTTTGTGGCAATGTGATGCGTTTGCCGCAATTTATGCTCGACTTGCAAAAGAAACTGCACAAAATGTTTGAGAAGAGCAATGAGAACAGCTTAAGTGCCACGCATCCAAGCAGCATCCAAGAGATTGCCGGCCGTCTGTCCGAGGAGCAGCAAAGATTGCGTCAAGTGGAGGCAACAACGGCGCCCAAGGAGCGGACTCTATTCGTGCTGGGCAGCAAGTGTGTGGCAAGTGAATAACTAAAAATCAATGAGCTATAAATAATCGAGTATATAAACACTTGTACACTTGTATCCAGGGCAAATCGGTGGCGATTAACAAGTTCTTCGACCGGGATGAGCAGACGACGCGTCCAACTCTGGCCTTGGAATACAGTTATGGTCGTCGCATGGGCAGCGGCAGATCGGCGCAGGTGCTGAACGTGTGGGAGCTGGGATCGCTGGACAATGCCGAGCAGCTGCTCGAGGTGCCGATGCGAACGCACGGCCTGCAGCAGTTGGCCGCCTTCATCATGATCGATCTGTCGCAGCCGCAGCGAGTCTGGGCGGATCTCGAGTGCGCCTACCGAGGACTGAGGGACACTGCCCAGCGCCTGCTGCAGCTGGCAACGCCTCAGCTGCGGGAGCAGTTGCAGCGACGCGCTCTGGAACGGGTGAAGCATGTGCCGCAGGATCAGTTGAATAGCCTGGAACTGTTGCCATTTCCCGTTGTTATTGTGGGTGGCAAATATGACATATTCATGGACTTGGAGCCGGCACTGAAGAAGCACATCTGCCGCTGCTTGCGCTCCATGGCGCACCTGATCGGCGGCGCCCTGCTCTTCTATTCGCACAAACTGCCCAAGCTGGCCAAGGTGCTGCGGGACACCATCAGCCATCTGGGCTTTGGCAGTCCAACGAATCCGTTTCGCGGCCATGTCACCGATTACAATGAGGCACTGTCGATTTGGTTTGGCACGGACAGCTGGACTCAGATTGGCACTGGGGAGGCGGGCGGTTCCTGTTTCAGTGTGGAGCGCATTGGTGCCACACTGAGTGTGGAGGTGCCACAGCTGCTGTTGGAGAAACAGAAACAACAATTGCCACAGGATCCGGCCAAGGATGCTGGCTTCAGGGAGTCCCTGATTGATGAGATGCGCGCCCAAAAGGATCGGGAACTTGCCACAATTATGCGGGATGCCGCGTTGCGTGGCAAATTCGAGAGTGTGCACGGCTAAAATCACAGATTGCAAAACAACCAATAAATCGAATTTCTTTTCTACACATTTCAATTGAAAAATGGTAAAAAATTATGTACTCCAAATAAAGTTGACAATTACTTTTCAAGCAGCAAACAAAGCCGAATTTCTTAGAGTTTGGCTAAACGAATTTTCGGTAAGAGTAAATTTAAAAATGCATTTATTTATTTCTTTATTTAATGTCAACTTAAGTCTGTAGACACAAATATCCAACTTAAATTATTGATGAAGATATATTGAAAATAAAATTTATATTTAAAAAAAAATATTTCTAAGATTCCGCGGTATTTAAATGCAAAATGGTCCAATATTTGTTGCATGGATTAAGGAAAGGGATTAATGAATTAGTTAAGTCCCTCGAAAATGTTATTCACGAGACATGAAGTGTAAAACTGAGTTCTTAATTATAGAAACAGAAGACTCTGAATTTACTACCTGATGGAGTCTCTGGCTTAAGCGAAGGAAAATTAGCAGCATATCGATTAAGAGGAAGTGGGAAGATGGGGCTGCTCCGGCCAGTCAGTGCTCCGTTAGTGGTGGGTCTACTCATGCCCGCCGACCGTACAATAACCCAACACTTCACAAATCTACACATCACTAACAAAACAGCTGTTTTAACGGACAGAGGCAAACGTAAAAATTCAAAACACAAAAAACTAGACTTTCGGCGGCCACCCTTTCTGCGGTGTTAAGTCATATGTTGAATATACCACCCTTTGTAAGTCAAAGTCAGAACCGGCGATGTCAACATATATATAGACAGCCAGGCGGCAATCAAATCTATTAGCGCGATATCGTCAAATTCGATATCGGTAACATGCTGTCGCCAATCTCTGCATGAGTTGACTCGGCAATATCAACTCAGCTGTTGACCCTGCTCAAGAATATATATACCTTATGGGGTCGGAGATGCTTCCTTCTGCCTGTTACACACATTTGCACAAAACCATTATACCCTTTTTATATTTTTTTTGAATGGGTTCCGTGTATAAAAACAACAAAAATATATATATAAATAATTCAAGCAAATCAAAATCTTACAAACAATCACTTTTCAATCTAATGAGGGGTGGGAATCCCAATAGTGCTGGAATGCGATCTGACATATTTACGCTATATCCGAAGCAAATGCCGGCTCCTGGGTTGGGTTGTCGATTGCTCAGGTCATCCCTCTTGTGGATGACCAGCACTCGAGAACGTTCACCCGCGTCTCTAATCCGTTCCACCAATCGAACATCAAGGTATCCCTGTAGACAGCTCCGAGCGAAAAGACAGACAATTTTCGAGAACAGAAGTAGCAAGCATAATACAAAAATACTAAATTAATATATTGCCAATGACACCAAAATTCTCCTACCCAAAAAGCCTATTATATATCATATATTTTTATCACAGTTTCAATTCAATTCACCTCCTAATAAAAAGCGGCGATGACACCACAGCCACAGCCATAATGACAAAAACGCTGCCGGACAAAACACAATATATTTTTGGAACAACGTTCACTGCACGTAAGCCTCCAAATCCCTCAACTCTGGTCCTGAATGCATTTGTTGGAAGGTCACTCCGATCACTCTCAAGCCGCATAATTGTAGAGAGCCTTAGGCTCCTAACAATCCGCGACTTTGGAGTAATCAAAAGTGGCAGAGAAATTCTAGCGAGATTTTGTCGTCTCGTGTTGTATTTATTTTTTCAAAAAGATTTTCTTACTTCGGTGAAACAAACTAAATTAAAAAAGAAAAATTTAAAATCAAATGTGTATTTTAAAAATAAGATATATTTATTACATTTCGTGGGTATTTAAATGCAAAATGGTCCAAAATTTGTTCCATAGATTGGGCAAAACTCAAAAATAAAAAATCATCAGACCAAAAAAAATGGAATGAATTAGTTAAGTTCCTCGAAAATGTTATTCACGAGACAGGAAGTTAAGTTCATAATTTTAGAAAAAGAGGATATTGAATTTACTACATGATGGAGTCTATGATTTATGCAAGGAATAATTAGTAGTACATCGATAAAGAGAAAGCGTGAAGAAATAACGAGAGTGAAACAAGAGAAAAAACATTTGTAGGAAGAGCTTCGAGCTAATAATCATATTTGATTTAGTTGATTTATTAAAATATTTCAAATAATGGATCTGCAAACAGCTCCGGCAAGAGTCATAAAAGTTTTTGGTCGCATTGGCGCACGGGGCGTTTTAACTGAGGTCCGTGTGCAATTGTTAAAATATCCGCGCATTCAAATGCTGCGAGCTGTTAAAGGTAAATCAACATTTTCAATTACTTGTGCCTTGTGCTTAATGTGTTTTTTGTATTTCGAGGTCCCGTTCGTTTGGGTGACATTATCACCATTAAAGATACATAAGTATTAAAATCAAAATATTTTGTAACAAAATTATAAGTATTCGGTGTATGGGGGGCTCGTGCAAAAAGAAATGGATTCTGCAATTTGGCAAAAATCCGGACGCCGGATTTTGTTGACGAACACGGTCAACTTAGAAATTTAAATAATTATTAGATGCATGAATAAATAAATACAGTAACGTAAATAACGAATAACTTAACACAACATTCAACAAATTTGCTTAATCTAACATTCACATTTACATAAATATACTGGAGTAGGGGTGGGTGTGCTAGAGCACTGCTCACATGCGCGCAGTCGACTCGCACCCTTTTTTTCTTGACATGTGTTTCTTTTTTTTTTGTCTTTCTTTCTTTTTACAATTTGTAATTTAATTTGGACTCTGGGTCGATTGCGCGTACTGCGCTCGAGCTACGCGGCTGGTTACTAAAGGCTTATCCCGATGGCACTTATTCCACATCGGAACGCACTCACCGGCTGAAGAAATACCGTCGGTGCGCTTGCGCGCTGCCAATATCAGGGGATGGTGTATTCGCCCAGTTTTTCCTCGCAGTAGCTTCGAGGGCGTATCCAGCAATCTTTGCGCGACGGCCAGGTCCTTGTTGCATCGACTTCGGAGCATATGACATAAATTGCACAATTGCGGCGTGACCTGCCGTCGGCCACCTAAACATAACCCACAAAATTAGCGCAGCACAACATTTATTCAAACAGACACACTTACGCCGAATTTGGCTTCACAAGGTCTAGCGAATATGGAGGGTCAAGGCACTCCTAAATGTACTTCACCATTCGATCCGCACGGCACACAAATTTAAGCGCTATGGACCACGACCTGCCTCACTGCGTTTTTTTTTCTTTTCCACATGTGTTCTCGTCCCTAAGCTTAAACGCGCCACCTTGCGGAGAATGTCCTCACACGTTGCTGACCCTGCCAACTTGTTCCCGCTTTTCAGCAATGTGGCCCTTTAAATCTCACTTTTGGTTGTGGCATACGATAATTGAGTATCGATATGTCTGCAAATGCAACAAAATTCAAGAAGACAGTATAAATTCAAAATTGGCGCCTTAGGCAAACATTCCTTGTAAGGTTGGCAGCAACGTCACAGAGCAACAGAGCAACAGAGCAACCAACATACAGAGAGAGAGAGAGAGAGTTACGCTGGCGTTAGACATTCACACCTCAACGCATTGTACCGTTACAAATGGTAAAGAAGCTGCGCTGGTAAAAGCTCTCTTCATAAAAGCGACGCTCAGCTGAGCGCCTCTCGCTCAACAAATCAAGCCAAAGTCATTTGCGGCGACATCGGGTAAGTTTTCATTTGTCGTTTCGGTTTCGGTTTCTGTTTCTGTGTGTTTTCTGTTTTCTGCTCAGTTGTTGGTGCGCGCTCGCGTATCGCAGTTGTCGTCGTTAGCCGTTTGTCGTGTGCCGACGGCCGACGCCAGCGTTGTGTTTGTTGTGCTCGGTTCAGTGTTGAGTGTGTCATATTTGGCAAAAGTCTAAAACTCCGTCAAGCGCCTCAGAACTAAAATTATTAAATGAAATGTGTGAATGCGGGCAGCAGCACAAAGCAAATTATTAGTGATTATAAAAAAAAACAAAAAGAAACCAACGTTTGCTCTCTTTGGGGCTCAACTTCGTTTCGAAGTTTTTTTCGTTTGGCTCGTTGTGTAATCGCCGCAAAGTTGGAGTTGTTGCGGCAACTGTATTTGTACGCCTGCCAACAGCTATATATACACATACACATATACATACACATACATATAAATAAATATATATATACATAAGTACATAGAGATATATGTACAAGCATGTGTAAAAGTCTTTAAAGCTTTTTTGTGCTTCGAGGCTTAATAACTTTTTTGCAAGCGTGAACTTAAACTTGCTACAAAAAATACAACAAACAGAAACAACGAGAAGAAGTTAGCTCAAGCTTAAAACAGGTGAGTTTGCCACTTAAGCAGGCAATTATTTATGGCCAAACGCTTTGCTCCATTTTTCATGCTCCTCCCACCCATGACACAATTTGACAATAACAACAAGAACAACAACAACTGTAACAGCAACAGCCAAAAAACGCCGTATTATTGATTTTCCTTGTGGAGCATAGCGTTGGCGCTTTTATTATTGCCAATTTCGTATACACACATACTTATATCTACCACATACTTCTCTCTGTATGTATGTGTGTGTGTGTGCATGTGTGTATGCATTTACTTATGCATGTGTTTGTGATGAAAAACTTTCCGAATATTGCTCCGGCTGCGCTTACCTTTTGACAGGCGTTTCTCCGCAATTGCTTTTTGTCACATTGCCAAGGCAACGAGCAGTGTGCAAGTCTGCAAGTGTGTGTGTGTGTGTGTGTCGATGTGTGTGTGTGTGTGTGTCGATGTGTGTGTGTGTGTGTGTTTGTGTGTGTGTAGCATATGGTCGAGATTATCGCACGTTCTTTTTACCAACTGCATCCCCCTGAATAATTGCTCGATTTCGCTTGGGGTTTCCATCTTGTTGCTGACCTTTCCCACTGCGCTTATGGAGTGAATGATGCTGCGTCTAAGCGGATAGACAATATCTTATAGCAGTTGCTTTCACATAATTGAAGACATACCTGAATTGAATTTAAGTGATTGCATATATTACATATATTTAGATATACTTTAAATATCGAAATGGAGTATCTACTGGTCGACCTTGACTCGTGACTTTCTTTAAACTTTTTAAGCATGCAAATTACAGCTGCTTGATGAGCTGACTGAGTTTATCATGAAAATTAGTCATGAACCTATGAACAGAGTTAAACACAAGCACCGAGAAAGAGGAATTTAATCTATGTATACTAACTATGATCAATAAATTGCATAATAAGGAATGCCAGCAAACAATGAATGAATCTAGCATATCAATAACGAGATGCAAGCCAAGCTATTATGTCATAATAAGCACATACATTTATACATACATATATCGGAATCCCTTTCGTGTTTTGTCAAGCTTGCCAGCTGTTGTGTTGTGTGTTGAGTGCTGAGTGTTGAGTCTCAAAACTCGCCCAGTTAGTTGCAATGACCTTAGTGTCGATATACGATAAATAATGTATGGGAAATGATTTACACACAAATGCTAATTGAACCGCCAAGAAGCGTATCAAGCTAAATAAAAAACAATGAAAATCTGCTAATTAAAGCGAAACTGGCGAGCAATAAAAAAGTGACAGATGGAGCTCGCGACCAAATTTGGCTCATGCTAAAAGCTCGCACAACAGAATCAATCCAGAGGCAGATATTTAATAAATTTAACATAAAAATGGCGCAAAATAAGACATTTCTGCCTTATGGCAAATACTAAATACCCTTACACAGTAGACAAAGCGATGCAAATAAGAAACTTATCTTAAAAAACTAGTAAAAGATACATACAAATGCCAAACTAAATATATAAAATAATAAGATTGTTCAGTTAAGGGGTATGTAAATCGGATCACTTAATAAATTTAAAATACGCATGTATAAAATATTCAATATTAATACGAAGTTCACTTACAGACTAACCAAACCGATAAAATTGATGATAAATACGAAACTGATATGAACCAAGAAGTGAAATAAAAATGTGTTTCACCAGATAAAGAGTATTTATATCATATCAGCAATTGTTTCTGCAAAGCGCTTCTCAGTTTGTGTCGAAAATTATTATTCATTTAAACTATAAATAGCTTATGGGGGATCTGGTCTGTCTGCTCGGGTGTTTCTATGCTCTTGGCTCTGGGTTCTGTGTTCTGGGCTCTGGGCTCAGCTTAAACGTTTTGCATGCCAGCCACAATAAATTGTGTGTCAAAAATAATTTAAAGATGGCAAACTGTTGTCGCCGTCTGGCGCAATATGGCACACTGATGACTAATTGTGAGTAGATTTGTCGATTTTGTTTCAACTGAAGTAAAATGGATCTAATGGATCTAGTCTAATAGAACTTTCATATTTTCACAATTATACTCCACGTTGTATACTTTGATAAGCTTAGTTAGCGGTCTCTCCAATTTAATTTATAATGCCCACTCGGTAAATGTCAAATGTTTCGATAAGAATAAGCCACATTTAATGTGGGGGAGATTATTATTGAAAAACTGGCACATTTTGGTTGGCCTTTGATTTAATATCGCACATACATAAATCAAACTGTATCCAGGCCCGCACTTAAACACTTGAAAGCCATTCCAAATGCTGTGTATACAGTGTATGTGTATACGAGTTATCCACAAGTGTGTTTTCCACATACATATCGACAACACTGTATGGCATCAGAGGCTGTTGTCACGAGCTACAATCATTTATGTAATGGTAACAATGAGAGCCAGATGCAGATATATATCCAGAAGCGCCCTAAGTGCTGCAAGTTGGCCTACAAATTACGAGATTAAAAGTCGTAATGCAGAGCATCAGACAATGGGAACAGATTTGCAAACAGAACATTTGCTACTAAAAATGGCTGTTCGTTATCTATCTTGATTTTGTCTGGCTTTAAGTAATTCATTCAGTATTTTGTTTACTTAAAACTTGCATGCAATATCAAGCTCGGCACTTACCTTAATTAGGCGGCATCAAGCATGACCAAATTAACCATTAGCAGTTGCACTCAAAAAAAAAAATCACAGTCTAATGAGTTAAGCAGGACAGCACAGTGAACTTTTGCCGGGCAAAGAAAGGTAAAAGAAAAAAATACAAGCTGCAAGTCAGTTCAGCAATCACTGAAGCATCAACGACACACAGTGACTTTAAGTTGCATTGCATTCTGAGTGTGTGTGTGTGTGTGTATCTTTGAGATACATTCACTAGCAACCACTGAGCGCTGTGCTCTATGGTCATGAATGAGCAGCCAAGCACAACAGCCATCTCCTCACATCATCATCCGCCAACCTTCACATTGCCCTGCACTGTTCCCACAACTTCTTCCACCGTATTCTGGATGTGGATCTGGATGTGGATGTGGATGTCATCCGATGTCGTTGTTGACACTCGTAAAGTGTGTATAAGTTTTAGTAATGCGTGAAAAGTTCACTGCTTTTTATTTTACTATAGTCACCGTTGTAAGCTCTTTCACAAGTATTCATTTAATGTAATTAGCTTTTCCAACGAGTTGCACACAATTTCTTAATGATTGAATTTCCACCTTTTTCTGTTTGCATGTTTTCCATATGCACACAAGCATATCT